GAGGCACTCGCCAAAACCCAGAGCCCTTTGCCAGCAGAAATCAGCAAGGCTGCACGTGCTGAGCAGCTGGATACATGTGGCGGGCATTGCTAAAAAATTCCCTTAAGTTTCAAAACGGGAACAAGTTAATTCTCCAAGTCTCTAGTATGTAAACCATGTCATCAAAGCTGGTTATGAGAACCCAAGGAAAGAGTGATATCTGAATCACCAAGAGCATTTTACCTCCATTTGATAAAATTGGTGTTTTGATTAAATGTGCTTCACTGTAATGAATTCTACAAAGAAAAAGGAATGAAAAATGTCAACTGAGAACTTCATCATGGGTTTGGCAACCCACCTCCTCATAAAAATAAGAATCTTCCCAAGTTTTTTAATCTGGTAAATTAGATAAATCTGCTGCTTCCCGGTTTTTTAATTGTCATTCATCTGAAAAGGTTCTTAGTATAATAACATTGCCTTCTTCCTGCCACTTAGAGTTACTGACATCATATTATCATTTAGATTTTTCAGGAAAAGGAAGGAATAAAAAGCTTCTTTAGCAGAGGGAATTTTCATTTTCCACATTAATACTACATTATAATAAAATAGTCTTATGAAGTTTTGATCCCAAGGCTGAAAGAACAAAAACACCCCTTAAAAATACCTCTCTAGAGACGCATCCCAGGAAAAGCTCTGTCTTCCTATCATGTTACAAGAAGTGTGTGTTTTCCTTCTCCCTACAAGGCGTCAATCAGGACTAACGACTTCCGACTTACGGAATTAATAAAGCAATATTAAGTTGCATGTTATTTGGTGAGCTCAAATTTACACAATTCTCAAGTTCCCTGTCGCAGTCCCTTGGGGCTACTATAACAAAGTCTCATAGACTGGGTGGCTGAGAAACAGTGGACATTTATTTCTCACAGTTCTGGAGGCTGGAAGTCAGGACACCAGCATGGTCCGTTCTGGCAAGGTCCCCTCTCAGGGCTGCACAGAGCCATCTTCTTCTCCTATCCTCACACATGGAAGACAGTAACAGAGCTCTCTGGGGTCCCTTGTAGAAGGGCACTAATCCCATTCAGGAGAGCTCCACCCTCATGGCCTAATTACGTCCCCCCAGTCCCCACTTCCAAATATCAGCCCATTGGAATTCGGGTTCCAGCATGTGAATGTGGGAAGAGACACATTCAGTCCACTGCACTCCCCTATGAAGAAACATTACAGTGAGCCATGCACATGGCTTTCTGCATGCCAGGCACAGGCCACCCCTCCCGAGCTCCTGATCTCTGAGGAGTTATTTTATCAGAGCCTCAGTCTGATCAACTGCAAAAAAAAAATGAGAAGATGATTAGCATTTCAGTACAGCTGAATTCCTGTGCCCCACAGGAGAGACACACAGAGGCAGCAGGAAGAGCACTGACCTCGGAATTAGGAGATGTCAGCTGATGTGTGGGCACAGAGCCCTGAGACACTACTGAGGTATCACAAGGGGTCCAAGCATATCCACAACTGGATAAATGCCAGGCCCAGGATATACATCAACTTTCCCCAAACATACACAAATGCTATCCGATTAAGGAAATTCAGATGGACGTAAACGGTTATTGATATAAAGTGGTTTTTGTCATTGTGCAGTTTCTTACTCAAAAGATAGTAAGAATTTAGCATTATGCAAGGGTCCTAGAAGGTTTCTGGCATTTAAAAGAGGGTCCCGTACATTCAGAAGAGTTAAAAATCATTGGTCTAGAACTCAAGATCATCTCTAAAGGGATTAACACATCACCTATGAATCTACCCTTCTCGCGACAGCAGCTTAGTCTCCGTTAATGTAGATGAGGAAAGAATGGGTTAAGCTACCAACTCCAGGCAGTAACCCCTTATTTTATACATTCATTTTGAAAATCTTGGCTGGGTGCATTGGCTCATGCCTGTAATCCCAGCGCTTTGGAAGGCCAAGGCAGGTGGATCACCCGAGGTGAGGAGTTTGAGACCAGCCTGACCAGCATGGAGCAACCCCATCTCTACTAAAAATACAAAATTAGCAGGGCATGATGGTGCATGCCTGTAATCCCAGCTACTCAGGAGGCTGAGGCAGGAGAATCGCTTGAACCCAGGAGGCGGAGGTTGCAGTGAGCCAAGACTGCGCCACTGCACTCCAGCCTGGGCAACAAGAGTAAAACTCTGTCTCAAAAAAAAAAAAAAAAAATTAATTTTGAAAAACTCAAAACAAAAGCAGAAAAAAAAGACTTTACATTTGAGTCAATTAGCAGCAGACATTTCTGTTACGTCCCAGGCAATCCACACATTTCCCTCTGTGTGTCCTGAAAAGCCTTGGCAAGGCAACAAAGAGTGTACATTTTACACAGTCATCATCATTTAGACTTAAAGGCTGTCTTTACCGTATTATGGCAGTAGTAATACTAAATGCCTTTTGAAAACCATTTAATACCTTCTACAACTTTTATGGTACATCAAATTACAAGCCTACTCTTGTGAAAGAAAATTGTCGGCATTCTAACATAGCTACATATAAAATGAATAATTGACAAGTAAGGGCAAAGAGCTTTGAAAACCTAGAGGTATCATATGGATGATAAAAAATAATGCAGACAGACAACCAGTGCCCGGCAACTCCGCGGCTGTTCAATAAAAAACAATCAGTGAAGTTGGACAAATACCTACGTAGGTTTTTAAAAGAATTCCTTCTAGAAAGGGGCTCTGAAAGGTACTGTCCTCAATTTGGACAAAAGGCAGCGTCTCCGAACAAACAACATCAGCTACTAGGGAAGTCAGGGAGCACTGTGAAGGCTGGGGTTTGGCGGGAGGTGCTGGAATCTACTATGTGGCCCTTGGCGTCTAGGTCACTGCTTACAGATCTGCCTGGGGCTCACAGTGACTGAAGAAGGCACAGGTCTCATTGGAAGGGCCATTCACTGCCCACCAGAGACCCCTGTGCACTGTCCAACCACAGGTATCTTTTGCACCAACTTGAATACGACGGACTGACATCCCAGAATGCCTCCATATCGAAGTTCAGCATAAGGGCCAGTATTTCACTGTCTAGACTGGGTGCAATACTGACTGTGGCTGTCACACATTTCAGGGCAGATCTTTCATATATCGACCCTCTCCTTTCACCATTTTTACATGGAACATTGAACCGTACCGTGAAAAATTATGTTTGCATGGACTTAAAAACAACTAATCACTTCCCTTTTTTCTTACCACCAAAAGCTTACAGAATCAAAATCAGGATGACAAAAAGTTTCTCTAAGTCACCACATTTTTCTAATGAGTCATCCACCAGCACCAGCTCTGAAGCTGGGGCTGAGAAGACAGTCTTACCCTCCCCCCATCTGATCCTCTCTTCCCACTCCTCGAGGGACGGGTGAGGTTGAATGGAGGATCTGACGGTTCAGTCCCCTTCATCTCCCCTTCATCGTAAAGTACTTTTCCCACCTTGGAAACCCTGAGGCTTGGTAAAGTACTTTTCCCACCTTGGAAACCCTGAGGCTTCACAGTCCTCAATTCCTCCTCTCCCTCCAGGTACCTTTCCTTTTTCTTTCAAACATGGAGGAGTTGCCCCTAAGCAATTCAGAAAGAAATGTATGGGGCTTATTTAACATGACTGAGGTCCAGGAACATTAGTAAAAGTGTGTAAATTAGACTAAAGTAGACTTGGAATTCTTCATTGAAAAACATAGAGGAAAACCTCCCGAGAGACTCAACAGAGAAGTGTTTATCAGGCCTTGGCCTAAGTTTCCTGAAGGCACAATCTTTCCCATTTGGATGGCCTCCAACAGCGCCAGTCTGTTCATTTTCAGACATAAAATACAGGACCTAGCCTTACAAAAAATCACCAACCTGCAGGCGCAGCATGATTTGCTTCTTTTCCGGCATTAGCTGCATATTCTCCAAGTAATACAAGGAAAAAGTAAGGCTGTGGCTGGACCCTCCCAGGCAATCTCTGAAGGAATTTTCCCCGGGGCTCAGACGGGCAACAAATTCTAAGAAGCACACTTCCCTAATCGCAAGGTAAAAATCCAGAGACAGTCAAGCCAAAGCTTTACAGTTCCACTCTTGCGGCTTGTTTTTTTTTTTTTTTTTTTGAGATAGAGTCTCATTCCGCTGCCCAGGCAGGAGTACAGTGGTGCAATCTCAGCTCACTGCAACTCCTGCCTCCTGAGATCAAGCGATTCTCCTGCCTTAGCCTTCCGGGCAGCTGGGATTACAGGCACCCACCACCATGCCTGGCTAATTTTTGTATTTTTAGTAGAGATAGGGTTTTACCATGTTGGCTAGGCTGGTCTCAAACTCCCAACCTCAGGTGATCTGCCCGCCTTGACCTCCCAAAGTACTGGGATTACAGGTGTGAGCCATCGCGCCCAACCTCACTTCTTTCTTTTGGTCTGACCACAGCCCACTGTGAAATTGCAGCATCCCCTGAAACTCGAAGAAGTAACTGAATCCTCCATCTCCTGATGTCTAGCTCACAGTTTGATTCCTGCTTCCCAGAGATGAGCTTGAGCCAGATGTTCTCATCAGGCACGCCAGCCGAATGGAGCCTACTTCTCATCAGACCAAAGCCCGAACCAGCCCCTGGAAAGCCAACCCTGCTTCCAAGTAGTTAAAAAAAAATAACCTGCAGAGCCACCATACGCATCCCTCAGCCATCTGTCCAAGGGTCTGTGACCCTCTACAGAGAAGCTGGCCACCAATTCTCTGCTGTTGTGCAGGCCAGCAGGCTGCCGGTGAGGCCTGCCAGGCTCACCACATGCAGCAGAGCCCTGAATCTCAGGGACGGGCAGTGTGGCCACTCCTTGCTTCCCTCCGTGGCTCTCTTTGGAACTTAAGAGACAAAGTAGGAAATTGGGGTAGTTAAATCGGATATTTTTCTTTCCAGCTGTTGATGACAAAGGGGAGATGACGCCTTCTGACCAACTTTCTTAATTACCAGCTTTCCTCATAAGCACTCCCCAGGCTATGTCACTAAGCAGAATGGGACATAAAATCTGTCCTACCGTACGGGTATTTGGTGTCCAGCTTATTCTCTGCCGTCCTTCTCCAAGGCAACAGGTCATCACTGCACCCATTTGGCATCCCATTGTACCCGATCCCCACAATCTTGTTTTCTGAATTCACGATGCAGGCGCCGACCTAGAAGGAAACATGCCCAAAGGCTTGGTGCCTGCAACTGGCTGGTCTGTCTCTGAGGAAGCAGGGAATGAAACCAGGGGACTGCAGGACTCAGAACAGATGCAGGGCTGCTGCAGGTGCTGAGAGCTGTCAGTCTCCTTGCCTGTTTTTGTGGCAGCTCCCGCAAGCCAAGGAAAGTGCAACCCCGGTCCCAGAAGGGGCACAAGAGGCAATTAACAATGGCATGGGACAATTTTCTGTCTCACAGGAAGAAGTAAGCTTGTAGAAATGCAGCACAAAAGGCAGACTAACACTGTACTCTTTTTTTTTTTTTTTGAGACAGAGCATCACTCTGTCTCCCAGGCTGGAGTGCAGTGGCACGATCTCGGCTCACTGCAACCTCTAGCTCCTGGGTTCAAGCGATTCTCCTGCCTCAGCCTCCCAAATAGCTGAGACTACAGGCATATGCCACCACACCTGGCAAATTTTTGGTATTTTTAGTAGATACAGTGTTTCACTGTGTTAGCCAGGATGGTCTCCATCTCCTGACCTCATGATCTGCCCACCTCAGCCTTCCAAAGTGCTGGGATTACAGGCGTGAGCCACTGCACCTGGCCGACGCTACACTTTTAAGTTGACAGATGTACACTGAGTCTCCCCTTTCTGCTCATGTGCAGGAAACTCTCTGCCTGTGGGTATCTAAGCATACTCCTATGAAATTCATTTACCTGGGAATTTGGATCTTTGCTTCTCTGTGCTGATAAGAAGGCCACAGCCATAAAGTACTCAGGCCATTCCAAATAGTCATCCCGTTTCTTGCAGGAAACTTCACTCATGTTGGATCTAGAAGGAAACCATGGCAAAACAGAAGTTGAGAGAAGCATTTTAGTAAGTCTGTTTTCCAGTTCAACCCAACCACACTGAATCTTGAAACCTCTAAACATGGGCAACTTCAGCCACAGTATCAATCAGAAATCACAACACATGGACCCTAAACAGTCTCTGGTCTTAAGTAAAAAATCAAGAAATTTCATATTTCAGAAATCTGAATTTGGCACCTATAGCTTCACATTCCCAAATATTTCACGTATTTCCTGCTTTCTCATAGGATTTTTTTTAAGTTACTACACATGCTGGCCTACAAATTGTTCTGTTCTTTACCTCTCTCCCTTAAAAAACAGAGTCAGCACAAGGGAGGGTGGAAAAAAGAAATATTTATTGATCATCTATAGATTCCAGACGTTGTTAAAGCTCATTACACATCATGTCACTCAAGCCTCACCCTGGATAAGGTAGACAATGCCATCCCATCTCACAGAGACTCAGAGAACCACGAAGGATTATTATCCATGCCAGATGGATTCAAAGAAAACATCTGAAGCCTTCCCAACTCTGATATTAACCAGATAATTTTTCCCTTCCCTTTCCCTCCTTACCCCAGATGGGATAGAAGTTGTAAGGCTGAGTAATGAATTACATGAGAAGAAACTATGAAAAATGTCAAGTGCTACTCTTAAAGCCAGGTTTTTGGAATGTAGGCTTCACCAGGGCCAAGCACAGGCCGTGTCTACAACACGGAGAGCCCACGAAGGGGGTCCTAGAACTTCAGGGGAGTGGTCCCTTTCAAAAGGAATGAAACAAGGGCAAGGAAGGAAGACAACACAAAAACGGGGTGGGTACCACTGAGAAATCTTGAGAAAGGCGAGGAATGCGGTCTAAAAGAAGGCAAGCATTTCCCAAAGCTTCTGCTTCAGGCTCCACACTGGAGGTTTACACTACCGTGCAGGGCAGCAGTGCCTAAGACCAGGATGCAGTGGAGAGTCGGTGCTGGGAACCACGGCCACCCACTGAAAATGCTGCCCCAAATCTGAGAAGCCTGGCAACCCCCTTAACGGGAAAATACAGATGTTGGATCAGCCTGGTTTCCCACCTGGCTTAAGGGGACCATCCATCATCGCTGTGGGGTGCTAGAGAAGGACCTACTAAATAGGAGCCAGGGGGCAATGGAGGGGCGCGGGAAGGGCAGGAGAGGGAAGGAGCCTGTTAGTCGTCTGGGCGCCTTCCCTGGCGTGGCTGAACGCCCACTGGAACCCTGCGAGGACTGAGGCCCAGCTGTAGAAACAGAAAGAACAGAACCTCGGATACAACGATTCGGAAAGACACACCTGGTCACCGTCCCAGGCACAGCCCACGCAGCCGGAACCCCCTCAGCCCTGATCCAAGGCCTACACTCGCATTCCCACCCACACACGGGCAGGAAGGGCTGCGGTGTTCAGGTGCCCAGCACCACCTCCCGGGGCACTCCCGAGGGGGCCGGCCTCGCACAGGCCGCAGCGCCCGCCGAGAAATCCACCCCGGCGTGACTGCGGGGACCCCGAGCGCTCCCACTCCCCGCGACTCTCGGATCTAAAGGCTGAGCGCGGCCGAGACGCCACAGGGTCCGCCGCCCCCGCCCCCGGCGCCCCGCGCCCCGCACTCGGGATGGCGCCACGCAGCGGTGGCGAGGGGCGCGCGGGCCGCGTACCCGCACTGCCGGCCCCGGCCCACATACGGTGCGGGCTCTGAGCGCAGGCCGGTCCGTGTCCCCGTCGCCGCCGCGTGAAGGGAAGGAAGTCGGGAGAGGGGGCGGCGCCGCTGCGGGGCCGGAAGAGGGCCGGGCGCTCCCAGGACTGCAGTCGCCCGGGGCCCGGAGCGGGGCGGGCCGCACCCAGCAGAGGCGCTGCTCGGCGTCGCCGGCCCCTCGCGGTCCCCGTGACGCAGCCGCGGTCCGGCCGGCCGGCGGTGATCAGGGCCCGAGCACAAACCACTCCCCGGGTGCCAGGCCGCCCCGAGGTCGGCCGCTGCTCTCGCGCGGGGCGCTCCCGGGCCTGACTGCAGGACCGTCGGGGGCTGCTCGGTTTTGGTGGCGGTGATGATGGTGAGGTTTTCCCCGCCAGCCGTGTTCCGTCAACTCCTCAGAGCCGTGGCCGTGGAGATTCTATGTGATTAAAAGACGCCCCAAGAATCTAGTGGCGTGAAACTGGCGGGTGGGAGGTGGGGAGGGCTGGTTTGGGTCCCGAGTGAGCCCGCTGTGTCGAAGCGTCCCCGCGGGTACCCTTGGCCGGTGGCTGGGTCATAGTTTCACATTGGGTCCGGCGGGGGCGCTGCGCCTCGAGGCATCTGGCTGCGCCTGACCGCCTTGCAGCTTCTGCTCAAATTGTGCGGAAGGGCCTGAGGTGTTGGCTAAAGCCTGCCGCCCCCGCTCGACCCCTGTCACCGCGTGTCACCCCGACTGCACGTTACCTCCTGGTGACGCTTGCCCACTGAAATTGTGCACATTTTGTTGCAGTTGTTTCCAAGATCAGAAAAACAGGGCACAGGGCGATAAGAAAGACCGTCAGTGGCGTTTTGGAGTCGTCTGCCCCAAGCAACTCAATCTGGTTTTCGTGAACTTCGTTCCCTATGCAGGAGTCTAGCCACTCACAGTGGTTCCAGCATATTGAATGAATGACAGCAGAACCCCTTTCTATTTCACTCGGGACTTGAGGGTGCTGTCAGCGCTCTATAAATACGAGCTACTATCATGATCAGTTCTGATCTGCACTTCCCAGATTTGAACTGCTATTCCAAACAAGAGCGTGTTAACTGTATTAATTTAGCCTAACGGAGGAAGAATGATGAGAGTAAACAGTTGGTTCTATCTAATTTCTCACTACAGCAGACACATCATTCTTCATCTCATGGTCCAGCTTGTAGATTCAATAATTAAATTATGTACTGCTCTTGGTGGATGCCGGGAAAGCAAAAGGGAGAAATACTTCATCGTTAACTATAGATTTTTTTTTTTTTTTTGCCTTGATAAGACTCAGTCTTGAAAGAGCCACATAGATTAAGATGATGATTTTTAATGTCAAGTTGACTTTATGTGGCTGTCTTCTTGCCACTAAACTGTGTTATATCTCCTGGGCCCCTGGTTTCCCTCCCCCTCCCAAATCCACTGCTTGGTCTTTGTCTCACTCCTCCACAGTCTTCGGGTCTTCGTCGATCCATTTCTCTCCTTACCAACCTACAGCCCATACATCACCAATTGCTGCTGGTCCTTCACCCACAACATCGTTAAGCTTTCTTCCTTCCTCTGCTCGGTAAAGACTGTCATACATAATTTAGTTACTTCTCATCATTCTCCATTTTGGTCAACTCACACACTACCCTCTGCCATAAATTCAAGCTCTTGCTTGCTGAAAACACGTTGCCCTGAATGTTCTGCATTTCACTGAAAGTCCCTCATCTTAAAGATGACATCATTCATAATACAGGAAACCCTCCTGGTTCAGAGTTTCACAACTTGAGGTTTCAAATATTCTGCACCAAGAGTGAAACCACACAGCCAACGGGGGAAAAATACATTCCTCAGTATGTCTTTCTCATTAACACCTTGTAACTCCAAGTGTAACTGTAGGTGTTAAATCTCTCTTGTTAATACCTTGTATTTCGGTTTAAAATTGAGGATCTTTTTCCACCTTCTGCAGATACAGAGGTTGGGTATATGTCCAGCCCTCTCCAGATTGCCGTTCCTCGAGGACCTCACAGAGGTTGAACACAGTCAGCACATTGCTAAGGACTGTTGTCTTGGTCCTTTTGTTTATGGGGCTTCAGGTTATCTATGTCTGGTCTAGAGCATAGCCGGGAACATATTAATATTTCGGTGTGCCTTAGGTGGGGGATCCCACTTAAAAACAGAAGTCGAGGTAAGGTTCTTCCAGGGCCGCCTCAGAAGAGGGGTTGATGGCATTTGCAAATGTCTGCCCTACCAAGATACTGCCTGCCGCTTCTTTCACCTCCTCTGCCTGCCGAGGTAAGGATGTGACTTCTAACTGGGGAAACAGAGGCAAGGAGTCAGGAAGGTGGCCAATCTGTCCATCGAGCTTGTCATGAGAGAAAGGCCACAGGCCTTGGAGTCAGACTAGACTTTGAACCTTATTCCTTACAACCCAAGTGACCTTAGCAAGCTCTTGGAGTCTCTGCAAAATCAAAAATATTCATTTTTTTTCTTTTTTTTTTTGAGACGGAGTTTCGCTCTTGTTACCCAGGCTGGAGTGCAATGGCACGATCTCGGCTCACCGCAACCTCCACCTCCTGGGTTCAGGCAATTCTCCTGCCTCAGCCTCCTGAGTAGCTGGGATTACAGGCACGCGCCACCATGCCCAGATAATTTTTTGTATTTTTAGTAGAGACGGGGTTTCACTGTGTTGACCAGGATAGTCTCGATCTCTTGACCTCGTGATCCACCCACCTCGGCCTCCCAAAGTGCTGGGATTACAGGCTTGAGCCACTGCGCCCGGCCGAAAATATTCATTTTTTGATTAATTCCCTACCATGTGCTAGGTGCTGCAAATACCGTGATGGATACTGTAAGCCAGTTCTTGCCCTCACATTCCCCTCTCCCCAAATAAATACAGAGAAAAACTGAACCTCATTGCTGGCCCAGCGAACATGTAATTGTTGTTATAAACTGCCTGTTCTTCATTTGATGGTTGTCAGGACCAAAACCTTCTTTTCATAACTTAACAACTGCACTTAGAGGCAAAGTGCCACTTTGACTGGTTTTCAAAGGAATAATTGTTTATGTTTCCATTTTAAAGTGCAAACTAGAAAGAACTCTTTAAATCTTAAGAGATGACTGTAAGTCTGTTAAATGACAAAAAAGTCAAAATGAATATTCTAGAAAAAAATAAATACGTGGTCTTATCGATACAGTACAGGTTGAGCATCCCTAACCTGAAAATTCAAAATCAAAATCCTCCAAGATCTGAAACTTTTTCAGCGCTGACACTCCCACAAGTGAGAAATCCATACCTGACCTCATGTGATAGATGCACAAAATTGTTAAAAATATTCTATCAAAGTACTTTCAGGCTATGTATATAAGGTGTATATTAAACATAAAGATTTGGGTCCCATCCCCAAGATACCTCATTATATACATGCAGATATTCCGAAATCTGAAAAAAATCTGAAACCTGAAACACTTCTGGTCCTAAGCATTTTGGAGAAGGGATATTCAACCTGTATATACATTTTTGTATGTATGTTAGAGGATGGGATCAGTTGCTTTTGTTCAATGAACAGCATACAGACTGCAAATTGACGTGAGAGAGCGTTCCTATCAGAGAAAAATCTGATCTCTAAATAGGGTTTAAAGGATCTTAAAAAAGGATCTCTAAATAGGATTTCTGTTACGCGTTGAACTCAACAGTTACCTTTGCTCAACAGTTACCTTTACATCTTCAAAATTACAGTGAAGGGCCGGGTTCATCGTAATGAACTCACTCCTGTAATCGCAGCAGAGTGGGAGCCCAAGGTGAGAGGATGGCTTGAGTAAGGAATTTGAGACCTGGGCCATGCGAGACCCAGTCTCTACCAAAAAAAAAGTTTTCAATTAGCCAGGTATGATGGTGTATTCCTGTAGTCCCGGCTGCTCAAGAGGCTGAGGAGGGAAGATTGCTCGAGTCCAGAAGGTTGAGGCTGTAGTGAGCTATGCCTGCACCACTGCACTCCAGCTGTGGCAGAAGGAGACCCCATCTCAAAAAAAATACGTTTTTTTCACTGAAGATCAATAAGGAAATGTTAACATGGCATATGCACAGAGCCGGGTGTTTTGCTGTTTTATATCAGTAAATACTTGTTGACTAAATAAATGAATTAATAGAAATCATTGTTGTCTGCCCAATTGTTTGGAGCACCTAACTCAAAGAGAGAAGTCTTTGTCTGTGGACTCTGGTTCTACTTCCCTGTCTGCCTCCTTTTTCTCTTTGCGATTCATGGACCTGGAGAGACATCTGATCAGTGAGACATTGGGATTGGTGGGTCAGGGAAGCAGAGTGAACAGAATCATTTTAAGAAGACATGGATCTCAGTCCTAGGATTTGGGACTTGGCCTGAAAATGACCATCTCTAGTACAGCAGAGCCGAAGGCAGAGGGGGAATCTGTCTTCTCCTTCCTGGTGTGATGCTTCTCCCCATGACTTGCTTTGCCTCTACAGAGCTGAACTTGTAGCCTCTTTCATATGTAACTGGTTGAAGTGGATGGAAATTACATGTCTTATTGCTTCTTAAAAGAAAAAAAAACATATAAAATGTAAATCTAAAAGAAATGGGCAATTTTCTCATACCACTTTATATTTCTGTATAAGTTACCAAGTGCCAATCATTCTTACTTTTTAAAATTCACATTTGTCAAGCAGCATGTAAGCTTTCAATGTTGTACAAGAAAAGATAATGCTTCATGTGGAACAGTCACTTATGCTAGTTCTGTGAAAGTGCCGACCCGAAGAGAGTGTATCAGATTGTTGGCTTTATGGAAATGTTAATGATCTCACTAAATTACACCCTCTACTCTGGGGTCACCAAGGAACCTCCTAAATGGTAATCAACAAGGTATTACGGTTCTGGATATAGGATTCTTCATTGACATCAGAGTCCCCACTCGTTTTGTGATGTGTGTTTTAGCTGATGTAGCAAGGTGAATGCCTAAGAACCATTGTAAATGAAAGCCCCTGCAAAACTGGAGTTGGGGGTTAATGGCTCTCATCGCCGCCTGATGTGCTGTGCTGTCCCTCCGCTAACTGGAAAGCTCACTGGGTGTAAGTATTTTAGTATGGCGGTGCACCATGTATGTGTATATTGAGGATAACACCTGTGATTCCACCATGACGACAACAATCTGTTGTTACTTCCATGAGGGAAAAAGTCATCTTCTACAGCAAACAAAATAAGGGAGGAAGCCGATCCTATGTGAATGTCTGTGGACGCTGTTCACAGTAAGAAATTCAAAGC